AATGTTTTTGTATGGTTGAAGCAGATGATGATTTCCAAGTTTAACATTTATCGCTGTAAGAACTCGATTTTGTAGTTTAGTTTTCATTAAATTTAATTGCAAAAAAATACGTTCAACTGCTGCATTTGAATGAGGAAGCAATAAAAACATCTATTTACTGTCAAAGTAAAGTAAAAAAATACAGAAATATAGAATAAAAATGAATGTTTTGAAAGGAAAGGTATTAGGATTTCATGAATGGTACTAGGAAAATGGTGTTGGGTATCTTGGTACTGGGACAAGTAAAAAGGTACTAGATTAGTACAAAAGTACTAGGTAGAACAACACCTGGTACAAAAGTAGCCAACTGCTCCAGCAGTTGGCTACTTTTGGGCTACTTTTTAAAAATTATTTGGCTACAAGGGCAAAAAACATTTGGCAACGCTGCCCCAGAGCGATAAGCTGCCACCTGGATCTCTCGGCCATACGTCCGTCAACTATTCGATTAAGGTAACGCGATACAAGAGCGATCTGCCTAGGGGATTGCATCTCAGGAGATCTTTTATGGAAAGCTGAACTTTATTAAGTATTACTAACGTAAAGAAAACCCGGAAAACTCCAGCCCGTTTGCCATTCCTGAACCCCCGACTAACTAACTACCAGAGTTCGATGGTTTTATTCACTCGGCTACTGTAAGGCGCTTATTAGAATTCAGAAAGTGTCGTTTAGAAATGAAAAAAAACTCGAGTTGTTAGATTGGAAAATTAAATTCTTACTTGTTAGCCTTTTCACAGGATAAGACTTTCGATTCCACGCAGTCCACAACATTACCAGGAAACGACGTCAAAGAAGATGAATTTGTACTTACGAAAGTTTTCTTTATTATTATTAACTTTATTTTACTATATTTTTTTGCGATTTACACGTAGCACTGTTTACACGTAGCGTAATAAATTTTTAAAAATGTAATTGCTGATTTACATTCGATTCAAACATTCCATTTGTTCATTTAGAGGTTGCGCCATCTATTGGCGATACGTGTAAATCAGCAAGTCGAATGGAGATAGAAATTAATTGATTTACAAAAATCCAATAGATATTTTGGGATTGGATTATGACATTACCTAAATTAAGGGTAAGTAGACATAACTGCCGAGTTTCGTAGCAATTGGTCGAATGGCCTAGGAATGTATAGCGAACAAACAAACAATCACCTCTTTCTCAGCAAATGTAATTAATTATATCAACACACCTGAATATTTTGCCGAGCATAAATTATTTTATTCTCAAACGTTTTCAACCTACTTATTATAGATCATCTTCAGGAGGGCCAGATGGCCGAGCGGGTAAGGTGGCATCCTACCGCCCTGTGGGACCCAGTTCGAATTCGGACGGGTCGAAAAATTCCCAGGAAATATTCGGGGGAGTAGTCCGATCGGATATGAGGAGCCCCGTCCCTCACTACCCGGCCGCCCCATTGTGGGCCTGGCCGAACACATAATGGGCTTGCTAAAAGAGGCCCTCTTAGTGCTCACAGGGCGGAAAGAGTTAATCTTACATTCCATTATACATTAATACTAAACGAATACTAACATGTAATTTCTTTATCATTTCTTTCGTACGTTATAGTATTTTTTAAAAATTAATGCATATTGAATAGAATAGAAACGAAAATCAATTCGCAAGTTTTATCGATAGATCGGAAATTTCAGAACTACAGTAGTTTGAAATACAGTGTGCATTGCCCGGTAAAGCGACTTTAATACAGCTAGAGATAAGCAAGCCAATGGCTTGGTGCGTTTCAAACGAAACAGTTTATTCATTGGTTTACTCATCAGCTGTATTTCACCGGGCAACGCGCCCACAATTTTCAAATTCTTCGTCTTCCTCATCCTGGACTTATTTATTTATTTAATTTTTAAGTTTTTCCTAAACACGTTATATATTAAACAAAGACATTTTAATAAATTACCTAAATAATAATTATATTTAACACGATATATGTTTTAATATTTTAAACATTTTAATAATAAATCGTTATTTAATTACGCACTTTACTTCCAGTAGGGGGCTTAGGTAAGCTGTAATCAAACTTCGGAAAGTGTGTGTGTGTATGTGTGTAGTTTGGGAAGTTAGATCAGTGAAAGATCATGTGAAGTTTCCTTAATTATAATTACAATGTCAGGAAGGAAAAAAAGACTAGTTTCTACATGAAACCATTAACGTGATGGAGAATTTATTCGTAAGAACTATCAATAATGCATTTTTATATCACAGTTCTTAATTCTGGTAAGTTTTTCCTTTTATCAGTTTGATTTACCATGGGAATTATAATCTAACGTATTGTATTTTCCATTGTAAATCTGTCGTGTAAATTTAAAAAAAAAAAAAAACAATACATTTACGTATTGTTTACGTAGCTGTTAAACTGTCCAATTACAAAAGAGATTATATTTTTAATTGGACAAATTTGAAATATTTTCATCGTTTAAAACCAATAATTAAATTAAAATAACGACGATTAACTTAATTATAGAATATAGACAACGTATTTAAATAATTTACCGATAATTTCCCGTTCGTAGAATCTATTTGCAATAGATAATGCATTTATTTAATTAGGAAATATTAAATAAAAACAAATCTTATTTAATATTTCCTTCTCCTTAATTTCTGCTGTAATTTTGGCTTTGGTTCTAGATCTATAGAAAATTATAGATCTAGTTTTATGTTTAAAATGAAAAATTTTGATGCGATGATGATTAGAAGACTGGTATCGTCGCGAGTTTTTATGGAGTAAATGCACTTAAATTGATCATAAAAGTTTGCTTAAATGTTTAAATATTAATTAATGATGTAATTAAAGTTTTTAATTTACAGGAAGATCTACTAGATAAGGTTGTCAATATTTTTTTGAAAAGCGCGTCGAATAATCGCCTATTACAAAACTGTGCGACTTTTATGGATTACTTTCGTGTTATATATTTACGTAGAAAATAATTATACGGCGACGGATACGTAGATATGTAAATTTTTTCATTATAAATTGATACTATGAATGAATAATTCATGGATTTAAGAATACGATTGTCTATATCTTTTCAAAAACAAATTTTTTTTTTTTTAAACTTGTAATTACATTAAGTAAAGCTCATTTTATACTTTGTAATGGATGATTTTTGAGAACTTTTTATATGGTACCGGTAATTATAGAATCTAAACTTTGTTGCAAAGTTGGCATTAAAGTAATAAATTTATATGTATTTGTCGTATCTTTATTTGCATGCTAATTTCATTGTCGATAGAAATAAATTTGATTTTGATTTACTGTTAATAAAATTTGTTACGTACAGAAAGTAACTTTAATCATTAAACATTTTTTAAATTTATATTGATATTTTCATTCTTGTCTAATTCATTTGTGATTTTTGTTAAAAATATGTATTTTTTAAAATAATTTAATAGCAACTTTTAAAAACGAATCGGTATTTAAATTATTTCTTAAGTATATATGATTGGCAAAATAACTTAAATATTTTTTTTTTCTGTTGTTTAATTACAGTAAAAGAGAGATTAATAATATTTGACACTTTTACTTTTGAAATGACATTGTCTTTTTGGTACTTCATTAGATTCTTTAATTGATTAAACTGCAAGTCATAAAATTCGCATTTGTTTCTCATCTTAAACGATAATAAATTGTTTATTTTAAAACTTAAATATCAAATTTTCATATACAATTTAAAGAAATATTGTTATATGAATTATTGTTTTAATACTTTTTAATAATAAATATCATTTTAAACCATTAACTTTTTTTATTTCATGATTTCTTAAAAGATCAATGAAATCAATTTGTGAATTTAAGTAGTTCATATATTCATCTTAAATTTTTATTATTAGTGAAGCAGTAGTAGTAAGGAAGTATGAATGGTGTAATTATATAATCATTGATTTTATTGTGATCATTATTTATGAAATAAATTATAATCATTATTTGTTATACATAGCATATTAAAAGTTTTATATGACTTTAATACTTAATTTATCATCATTTTCTTTTATTTTTCTTATATGAAAATTTGTCTTTCTTCAAAATAAAAATGTTATTGTTTAATAAAATGTTTAGTTTTAGACTACATTATAAATATATTTTTTGACTCCATAGTCAATCTATGAATAAATAATCTTAATTTAAATACTTAAGAGAGCAGAAGAATATTTTCATTGGGAAGTTTTCTTTTTTATTTTAATATCTTATTATGATGATGAATCAAACTGTATATAGATATATAAATGAATTAATAAGTGCATGTTAATCTAAGTAGAGTTTTTAAATTTTTTATTTATAAACAATAATTCACAAATAAATATAATAAATTTGTTTTAAAGAATTATAAAATTTAGGCACAAAAACACTATATATAACAATCTTTAAAAATATTTTAAACTTTTTATTATATAGAATTATTCACTAAATACATCAAGTTTTTGATACTTTCATTTTAAAATGTATTAAAGCAGTTTTCTCCTAATAGTTTACAACCTATTTCTTTTTCTTCAATACAATATTGTGTACAACTGATAGAATATAAACATGAAATTGTCATGAAAATTTTTAAATTATGAAAACCAGATATATTTGAACCACCTTATAAATGTTCTTCCTTATGATTTGCCACATTTTGGCTGTAAAACAAGATAATTTTGTTTTGAATATGGTGAATGAAAAATGCATTTAACAAATTGTGTGGTTTAAGATATTTTAATAGTAAATTAATTTAAAGTATTTGTGGAAGGTGGTGGTATTTTCTTATTGGAAACAATTATTTTGTTGTTTACTTGTAATTTCATATGAACAAATTTTTGCTCTCTGAAATGTGTCACAGCCTATTGAAGTAAAGGATAAATTTTCATCAGACTCTGTTAATTTTTCAACAAATTATAAGGATAGAACCCTACACAAGCTAGTTCAATTATATGTAAATGAAATATCATATCTATCAATTGGAAGATGAAATTTAATTTTGAGGATTTTTAAAGCTTGAATTTAATATCTTGAAAACTTCTGATCGTTGTATTTATTTGAGGAAACATTTATAAAATAGATTTTTTTCTTAACTAGAAACATGTTATAGATTTTATTCTATACTCTTGTAAAATTCCTGATTTTAGCATGTAACGAAGAACAAGGCATATTTTTAATTCCATTTTTATAGTTTAGTAATAAAATTGAAGACATTTCAAAATTTAGGTTATTGTTCACATGGTATTTTTACTGGAATTCTCTTTTTGCTTAGGAAATCTTATTTACAAGTTTCATTTTTCTATGTAATTTATCTTTTTCTCAGACTTTACCATTTGGAAAGACCTTGCTAGTGGTTAAATCTTTTTCTGGTATTGTTGTACAAGTCAACCCTCCTATAACACTGTTGATAATTCCGTTTTATATGAATTCCATGTTGTACAAGTCACTTAGATTTTACAAATACGTGAACCGTTCACAGCCCGGCACACATATTTGTAAAATCTAAGTGACTCGTACAACATGAAATTCATATAAAATGGAATTATCAACAGTGTTATAGGGGGGTCGACTGTATTCATATCTTCACTTCTCTAATAAATTGGGCAAATTTTAAATGCAACAATGACAATGTTAATCATTACATCCAATAATATGAAACATTATAAGTCGTTTAGAGGAATAAATGGACCACTTTTTTAGGAGTTGTTACTACAACTCATAAAATTGATGCAATGAATAAGTGAAAGAAGGTAACATATATACATGGGTCGCACTGCATATCACCAAAATTACTACTTGGAAATATTTTTTTTTAAATTTCATTAAAAATATAATACAGTGGGTGATTGGTTAACGAACATAATCCGTTCCAAGACTGTTCGTTATCTGAATTGTTTGTTAATCGATTATCAATTTACCATAGGTTTTTATGGGAATTTGATTAATTCTTTCCAGAGACTCCAAAAAATAAAAAATATATACTTTTTTATTTTTATATTTTTTATTTATTATGTTTATTTATAGGTAATAATAAAAATACATATATATGCAGTCTTGCATTTTTATTAGTCATGTTTTTTCCGTTTGTGGGGGTTAAAGAATGTCCA